AGTGTAATGCAAAGTGTCGGATGCAGTGGTGTAAAGCACGCCGCCACTGGACTCTAGAGAAGTGGAGACGTGTTCTCTGGAGTGACAAATCACGCTTCTCGGTCAGGCAATCCGATGGACGGGTCTGTGTTTGGTGGCTGCCTGTAGAACGGTACTTGCCTGACTGAATTGTGCCAAGTGTAAAGTTTGGTGGAGTGGGGATTATGGTGTGAGGCTGTTTTTCAGGGGTTGGGCTTGGCCCCTTAGGTGCAGTGAAGGGAACTCTTAAGGCATCAGCATACCAAGACATTTTGGACAATTTCATGCTCCCAACTTTGTGGGAAGTTTGGGGATGGCCCCTTCCTGTTCCAACATGACTGCGCACCAGTGCACAAAGCAAGGTCCATAAAACATGGATGAGCGAATTTGGGGTGGAGGAACTTGACTGACCTGCAGAGTCCTGACCTCAACCCGATAGAACCCCTTTGGGATGAATTAGAGCAGAGACTGCGAGCCAGGCCTTCTCATCCAACATCAGTACCTGACCTCACAAATGCGGTTCTGGAAAAATGGTCAAACATTCACATAGACACACTCCTAAACCTTGTGGGCGCCTTCACAGAAAAGTTGAAGCTGTTATAGCGGCAAAGGGTGGGCCAACTCAATATTGAACCCTATGGACCAAGACTGGGATGCCATTAAAGTTCATGTGAGTGTAAAGGCAGGCGAGAATTGTGTCCTTTCGTTTCCTTAGCAATGACTGATCGCTTCTGCGCCGGCGCTTTATAGTGATTAAAATCGGCATGTCTTTATGATCTTGCGGCTATCGTTTTATGAGTTTGTACCTAGGTCGCGATCATGTTGACCACTATGCAGCCACAGCATCGATCTGGATCCCAATTGCTGGTATGATTTTTCTATTCATTTATTTAAATTTGTAGTTGTTTTTTTTAAAACTCTTTTGACCTTTAAATATGGCTTATTTGCCGCCCCTATGACATCACTGAGGGTGTGTTTTTCAATCATTAATTAACTACATGGGGTATATGTGTGGTGTTTGATTGTTACCATATTGTGACATCTTTCTGCCTTGAGGAAGGGACCCTGCGCAGTCCCGAAACGTCGGTTTATTTGGATGTCTGTGACGCTTTCTGTCCAACAAAAGGGACATATTTATCTTTACTACTGAGTGCTGGTGATTTCCTGACTATGTTAAACGGGACATTCTTTCTCCTTGCTACTACATACTGTATGATTGCACAGGACCCTTAACTATAACATCACAGGTGGTAGAGACCAACACACTCTAAGGTGGCCATACACCTTACGATTAGCGCACGATTATTAGTACATAACACGGGTGTTTGCTTACCACTGCTCTACTAAATCTGGTGGTTACTATTTTCATGTGCATATGTCATAGTATTAGTTCGTTGGTATACTCTCTACAGGAGAAAGATCTTACCGATACTCGATAGGTTAAAGGGAAGTACCATCCAAAAGTGAAAACTCAATTATGGATTTTGGCTTATAGGCACCCCTCCCCACCCAATAAAAAAACAAACAAACAAAAAAAAAACCCCACCACATCCAACGATACAAGAAACATACATTTGTAGACTTAAGATTCTAAGTTATGTATTCCGTTCATAACTCTTAAAAAATGCTATAAGACAATAGTATAAAGAAAAGCACTTAGTTGCCCATCCAGAATGTTTTTAGAAGAGCAAAAGGTTACAGAACAAGCGCTATCCCCAGGGGCGCCTCGAGGCTGGGTATCACCCAGGGCGGAGACCGGGTGACACCAAAATGACTGTCAGTCATTTTGGTGTCATCCCTCCAATGGTGGAGCCCGGGTGCGGGCCGCACCCCCCTTGTGACACCATTGGCTATCCCCCATTAAATGGTCATTCACCGTGGACAGAGTTTGCATAGGTGCTGGCAGAATAAATCAACCAGTCACTTCTCAGATCTCATTGTTATCTGACAAAGTTTCATTTACCTTGCTGGAAGTTTACATTTTTTTTTTTACATAGAATGCAACAGGAAAAATAAGACCCCAGTGATCTGTAGATGAGCCAGGATCTTCAAATGAAAGGCCACAACACTGGAATCTGATGGGTTATTATGGTCAGCTAGCAAAAATCTCCTGTTTTGGGTAAGTTAGTATTTGCCACCATAAATGTAACTTGCCGTTCAATTCCCCGTGGAAGACAACAGACAGTGGCAGGGTATGTACAATATACAGAAGTGTGGACTATATAGCGTACAACTGAATGTATTAAGTGGAATAAAAAATATACAGTACATTGCATTAGTGGAGCGCAGAGCAGTATGAAATGTATAGAATAAATAGATGGTTGTACAGAATGAAACAGTGCCATGGTGGATCTTTGGCAAGTGCTCACTGGCTTGTGTAATGGAGTTCCAGACCAAAAGGGCACCTGAAAAATACTCGTGTGTCAATGTTCAGAGGTGACTAGTAAAGAGAAGAGGAAAAGGTCATGTGCGGAGTGAAGCTTAGGAGCAGTATATAGCGTACAAAGGTGGCGGGTATGAGGAATTTTAAGCTATATTAAGGGATAGATAAGAAAAGCAGAAGAATTCAGGACCCATTGGAGTGTGGCCAGTGGGCGATACAGCTTCCCAACATCAACCTATTATTTTTTGTGAGGACGTCCCTTAAACATAAAGCACATATGAAATGTGTGTCAGTTCCTGACCTAAAAACATAAAAGGAAAAAGGCATTTATTTTTGTTGTATTTTTTTTATTTAAACTTCTTTCTTTAACAGATCAATTCAGTCGGCTCCTATTCAAAGCTGTAGACGGAGACACATCGGGGCACATTGCACAGGACATCAGACATCCACAAGCCTTCTGAAGGTTTTCTGTGTAGTCTTCACTAAAGTGCATGACCTTGATGTGCCATATCTATTACAGTGAATGGAGCCCTTTCATTATCACAAAACAACACATCCATTCAGCATCTAGCATTGGCGAGATGCTGCAAATAAAAACTAGAAAATATGCGGAAATACAAAATGTGTATGAAATTAAAAAAAGGGGCACCCACGGACATGATGGCATCCATCAAAGATACAGGCTATAGCTTGTGCCAGTGATACCAACATTCATTAGCATTTTCTAATCTCTGATAAGCAACTAAAGCCATACAAATTGAAATGTGACCCTCTGACATTCAATGAATGCCACCTTGTCCCCTATAAAGGTCAAAGTTCATTGCACTTTTTATCATTGGAAAGGTCAGTAAGAAAGCATTGTTATAATCTCAGTGACTCAGACTCCTAGGCGGTTTGGAAATGCCTCAGACTGGCCCAGTAAAGTCATGCCTGTGGTTGTCACAGATTTACTAGTCATTTGGTCAGAGGTTTTTCTAATAAACAAAAAAAAAAAATCATTTGTTAAGAGGTTTTTCAAAAAAAAAAAAAAAAAAAAAAAGGAGAGAGCTGCATGCTTGGATTTGACATATTCCACACATCTCATAAGTGTAGTATATAGAAAAGTGCCGACAGGCAGGCTCATTATGGCAGAAAAGACAGTCTGCCCCGTCATAGATCCTCCTACCCTGCTTGTCAGCACAGGTTTTTTTCTTTCTGTCCCCTCCTGAGCCACGCATGTGCACACAGGCTCAGCAGGATTCTTGCCAAGAATTAGTAAGACTCCTGCGCATGCGTGGGATTTACCTTATCTGGCCTTGGCCACTCACGTGGCTGAAGATCTGGAACCCAGAAGAGGACCGGCATAAGGATGGAAGTGCTGGCAAGGGAGGAAATCACTGACATCGCAGAGCTGGAGGCATGGCATTGGTAGGGGAGTCTTCCATAATGTGCCAATATGCTGTGCAGACGAGCACATTATGTCCAACTGGGCTTTTTTTGTATTATTTTCTCCTTTGCTTCAGCTTTAACCATATGCAACCTAAATGTTTGTGCAGAAGAATAATAATCATCATCATTATCATCACAATTGTATTGGAAACTCAGCATTTGGTGGGACTTGGTCTGCTAAAGCATAGGTTATGTTTTACACACATCCTGAATGATCCTCTAGAGAGACAAGGAGAGCTGTATACTCTCTCCCACCCTCCCATCAGTCTAGTTACTAACATTTTTCTCATGTATCTTAATACACTACAGCACAATCATGTGGATCATACCGATAACCTATAGGAAAAACCATAGAGGTAAGTGGCCCTGTAAACTTTAGTTATTATTCAGGATTTATATAGCACCCACAGTTTGCGCAGCGCTTTACAATATAAAGACATTACAATAGAATGCAAGAAACTATGGTAAGGAGGGCCCTAAGGGGTTACAATCCAAAAAGACCATGTCCCACCAAAAGCTTACGTTTCATTGCTTGTGGAAATTACAGGAAAAAAAAATTCAGGTAAATTTCCATTAAACTTAAGCAAAGAGCTGCCCTCTTGGAGAGAAGCTAGAAGCCAAACCTTTCCAGATGCTGTCAGACTATAGAGTGCTCGGCCTGGTGTCAAAGAGAATCACTAATCTCCAAACTAAGATGAGATAACCAATTTGTTTCTGCAGACTGTTCACATAACTGTATGAACTGTGCTTAAAGACGTCCCTTCAATAGAAAAATAGAAAGTAATCAGACACGTCATTCATATGGTGAGAATTGTATATGAATAGTAATCAATATAGAAACACGCAGAGTTCTGCCCATTTATAATAGAAATACTAACTATCCCTAAAATATACATTCCCTCCTCACATATATTAAACAGATAGAATATGGCTAACTTCAGTCTGCCCTAGCTCGGCATCTATAAGAAAAGGCATTGGTGTGTGTGTGTGTGTGTGTGTGTGTGTGTGTGTGTGTGTGCAGAGCTGTGTGTGTGTGTGTGTGTGTGTGTGTGTGTGTGTGTGTGTGTGTTCAGAGCCAATAGTGGCATCATAACCAACCCCAAACCACAATATGCAGACAGACTTTTCCTTCAAATGGTTTTTCAAATATAAAATTAAAAAATGGTGAAGAATTTTTTTTTCGGGACAATCTGCAGGCTGCTTTGAATCTGTAAAAGGGAGTTTGCATTGCACAGAAAAGATGATATGTTTGACAGATTATAAACGGTGCAATTTTTCACTGAGGAATTCTTCTACACTGTCTGTGTTCCATTTGGTGATGCTGAGTTCTTCAGAGATGTTCCCATGGTCATCCAGCAGCTTCAGTACAGGATCAGCGCCACGCACATACTGTGTACAGAAAAACAATTTTATATAACAAGATTAGCAGAGTTCCAATGGCTAAAACAAGACTGGTTTCTACATTCTAACTCAATCATATTATTACAATGTCATTAAATAATTGTATGCAGATTGAAAAGTAGAAAAATCAATTCGCCAATGCTGCCAGTTCAGCAAATACTTATGTTTAAAGCCCACCTCCAGCATTTTTGTTCCCCTACTTTATATTTTAAGTCCCTACATTTGGCCTGTGTTGATAGGCTTTTGTTCGTTTTAAGTGGGGTCTGCATTCCAATTCACATCTATGGAGATACAAAACCTGCTTGAAGAGGGCCAAATGCAGATCATAACGTAAACTGCAATCTGTCCATGACCTCTGAATCATCTCACAAGCATCTCAACTGAGGTAATTGACACCGAAGCCCTTACTCTGGTTGTCCTCCATTTGGGTCCTTATCTCATGTAATGATGTATGAGCACCACTTTGTCCAGTAATGCTGGAAGCCTAGGCTGGCGTGATGATATGCTCTCAGGGGGTAGGTCCATTATGGCTGGATGGCATGGAAGAAAAGCAGTGCTGGATCATAGAGTGGCGAGTCTGAGGAACAGCACTGAAGAGTAGGAAAATGTTGCAGCAACTGTTGGGAAAACTCAGACTACAAAACAAAGTATTAAAAGTCGGTATACCACACGGCAACTGTGCCAATCCCTTATCAGGGTGGATGCACAATAAGTGTAAACTTGCCTGTATGGTTGCAGAGTTACTATCCACTTTACAAACTAGTTCTCGGACAGTCGGTACACCATACAAATGTAGAAATCCTAAGGCAAGAATCTCTACATTAACTTCAAATTAAACAAACAGTACCAGAAAATTAGACCTACCTTGATTTGCAGACCCTTGAATAGCTTGGGCTTATCACTCCTGACAAAAGCTGGAAAACACAACCAAACAATTAAAATACAGAAAGAGGAGGAGTCTTAAAGAGCATGTGGAAAGGTGGTGAAATAAAAAACAAAAACATGAGTACATATCTGCAATACAAGGACATTTCACCGTGTTTTCTCTCTTTAAAGAATCTCTAATCTCCAATAACAGAAAACTACCTGTTGATCTGCCAGAAATGCACTCTTAAGCCCTTTTGTGGGCTGACAACACAAAGGTTTTTTGTGGCCCGAGTTGTCAGCATTGATCAGTGTATTTAACTGAACTTCTCAACCACTCCCACACTCCGATATCTACTACATAAGGGCTAATCATTCTTACGTTCATGATAAAAACCAGGAAGGCTCTTGGAGATAACACGAGAAGTGTGCAGAAAACCCAGGAACATGATAAACATTTCTGGCAAGTTCTTTTGCACAAATCAGACATTACAATAATGCCTTCAGTTGCATTTTAAGCAGACCACATGGAACAAAGAAGAGTTCATTGTTGGGGTTTATATACATTCAATGTACAGCAGACATTTCCGACCTTATGAGAGCCCTGCTGCTGGCTGCAGAATGTCAGCAAGAGTGCTACCACTCCCCAAATGCCCGCTGCAAACCACAATCAGACTTTTTTTTTATATACTAGTAGACAAAACAATGTCCACAGCCATTTTGTCAGATAGATGTAGCAATCCTAATCAGATTCAATCAGGGCTTAGTCGTAGAGGTCTACTTGCTGCCCATAAGGAGAATGTAGTAGTGCTCATTAGAGTAACTTGGCTCCCCAAGATTTTAGAAAGGTGATCCAAGCATAAGTCTTAGTGTGCCTATTCTCCTCAGGGCCCCCCTCCCGCAGCAATGGGACATACTTGCCTAAAATGCACTCTATCGTTGTAACCTGCCCACAATCTCTTCTCACACATACACAGCACAGTATTTTCCATTTTCATATCTACTAAGTGTTCTGCAGAGACAAATCACTCACTGTCTAGTGACCAAATCCCATTACCAACTTGAGTTTCTGCAGTGATCCCTCCTCCTAAGCAGCATTTTTGGAAATGGTAACTAGAGCAGCGGGATCACATGACTTGATCTTAAAAGATGAATTGATTGCATGTTTAATTTTTTTTTCAGGTACCTTGACTTTAGTTGGCTTCTGCCTAAATGGTTTACATGGCTCTAAGATGGACTTTGGAATGTGAGCCATTATCACTATGAACTGTTCTATGTAACCTTCAAATGTATGCAGATACTTCTACTAAGAGGAATACAGCTCTAGAAATACTTTCCTACCGACTACAAATCTAAAAAGTTGTGATAAAGCATAATGTTCCCCCACAATGCACTATAAAGCTCGTGGCCTAGATGTATCTAAAAGCTAAGAGGTGGGTTATTTTTTACGCGTGAAAAAGGCTTTAAAGATGACGGATTGAACGGCACAACTCAAACGTGATCATCTAAAGAACACAAGAACAGCTGAGACGTCCCTTCTGCTTCATCTAAAAAGCAGAGAACATAATTCAAATGGGAGCCGGCAGATGCAATAGTCATACAAGAGCGCTCTGTGCCAAGGTTTACTCGCAGTAAATTACACATCTCCAATATTTACAATATGGAAATCAACAAATCGAGCCCTTTAATCCTGCAGTGGAGGGGTCCGTAAGCATAATGGGATGCAGGAGGGTGAGGAGCATTGACAGCTCATTGTTAAATGCACCAGGCTTTTGTGACTGGAAAATGCGGCATGCTCACCCACAAGATTAAGGAAAGCCTGGTCCCTGATAAATTCCACATCTTAATAATCCCTTTTTTTGCTGCCAGGCAACAGGCAGACAAAAATATGAGTTATGGATACTGCACATTGGCATTTCTGTAAAATATTAACTTGGCTTTTTCTGCTGAGGATACTAAATCCAAATGTACCTCATCAGGCAAAAATTTACTACCCAACAATAAAAACAGCAAGAAGCCTGGCTGGAAACAAAGTAGAATGTGCAGGTATATAAATATGTTTTACGCTTACCCTGGACTTGAGGGAACCTCCCCAATTTTCATCCGCAGACCTCTAGAATAGCTCCTGCATACATCTGCAAAGTGATACAAAGTGTTTGTTTAACAAGTAGAAACATCACATTTTAGTTACCAGCCGCATAAAATAACCTACAAAGAAATCTGCACAACCAAATAGGCAGCGTAGTGGCTTAAGGTGACACTAAACTCAGGAGTTAAAGGAGAACTATGGGGTAAGTGTTTTTCCCCATAGTTCTCCTAAGGGTCACGGGAGAACTGAACATACTAGCGTCCTCCCGTGACCCAAAGCTGAGTATATCGCGAGTTACAGCTTGCGTTATACTGGAGACCGCTGCAGCCGGGACGGATCCCGACATTACTGCCGAGATCTACCCAGCTGCGCGAGCGACAGCTGGCTCTGCCTATCTAGAGGAGAGGGGGAGAAGATTGAGACGTGAGCCAGCGACGGTATGTGTTCGCTCACTTCCTGATCTATTGAGCTGACGTGCGACAGTCTCATTGTCACACGTCGGCTCGAACTATGAGGTTCAGTGAAAATCACTCACCTCATAGTTCTTTAAATCTTAATACATTCAAGAACCTCAACTCAAAAATGTATCTTATTTGTACCGCTCCAAGATCATTCCTGTGATGGAGTACGATCTCAATACAAATTGGTAAACTAAACATGAGATTGTAGTCCATCACAGGAGTGATATTTGAGCGGTGACTACTTTACAACACACACCGGGACCATAGGGAACAAAAGTAGCCATGCTCCAGAAGGACAGTGTCAGCTGTAGATCCTCAAATCATCTCTGAATTGGTGCCAAGTGATATACAAATAAGATACATTTTTGTTAAATTTAAAACATTTAAGTGCATTAACTATTAACTCCAGAGCCTAGTGTCACTTTAACGCCTGGCACGCTTGTGTTGCAGAGCTCATTCTACTTCAACATAACCTTTCTGACTTCTGCTAGATATGCACGGATGAGGTGGTTAGGTCACAGATAGACAAATTATAATGGGATTCAGAAGCCAGTCTGCCCAATCAACGAGCCAGCAGAATTTATTTTAGGAGCCAGCTCCATTGATAACTAGAGAATACCTCTAAAGTTAGGCACCAGCTGTAATTTTTAAGCAGCATGGACTACCTGGCTCCTGGGAATGGCTTTATGACAACTTTCACTAACCTCTTGCCAAATATCAGGAAATCACTTGACAATTAAAGGTAACACCTAAACCGTTGCTGCATTTCCTGCCCACATACACTTCTTAAGTCACATAACCGGATATGCCAGTTCTACCCTGGCACTGAAGAAACTCTCTCCAAACACTTTCCTTTCCAAAGTGCTGCTGGAGCCCACAGAAAGAGATCCAATACCATGTTAAATAAACAGGATCCCTCTAGAGCTGGCAAACTGTAGCCAAGAAAGCATATACAATGAAAATTTAACTCCAGCACAGCACATCTCATGTTTTGAAAGCCGCTTTAACCCCTTGGGTAAATTGAAGATGGAAAAAATAGGGCAATCCAATTTTAGAAAGATGCATTCGGCATTACGACACATCCTCTGTGCTTGGTCCGGGTTAAAAGGCCAAAACACTTCATTTCTATTTCAACAAGTCATCACTGTCTAAATGCGTTTTGGGACACGGATGCTACAAGGAAACTCAAAAGAATTAGACATTCTGCACATGAAGATTCCTGGTCATGGGATTTGTGAACATAATCAAGTGTACTTGTGTCTTAACAAGAAAGGATGACATTCATGGAGCCAACAGCTGTGCTTTGCAGTTCCAAAATGGAATGAGGTTCAATCACGCTGAATTAAAATGGATCTATAAAATAAAATGTTTGCTAGCTTGAACTAGCAGCACAATACCACACGATTGATTTATAGTGGGTGCTATTACCATGTGAAAGAACATGAAAGAAAAGTGTGTTCTATATATTTTCAAGTCATTCCAAATTTGAGAGGGGAAAAAAAAAAGGACAGTAAAATAATTAAACTATGTGCTTGCTGAAAAAAAAGGAAATAATTACTCGGATAGACAGACCAGCATCATGAAAGGAAGAGCCTACCATAAGCCGCCAATATCCTGCTGAATAATTCCCTGCGCTGGCATTCATGAGACTGCTGGGGATCCACAGCTATGGTGGGCAAAATCTTCTGTGCCAACCAGATTTCATATCAGGGAGGCCACCATAGAACAAGGAGGTTCCTTAACCACTTGAAGTCCGCAGTGTTAAACCCCCTTCCCATCCAGGCCATTTTTCAGTGTTCAGCGCTGCAGTACTTTGACTGACATTTATTCCATCATGCAGCGCTGTACTGAAATACATGTTATACCATTTTTTAGGGACAGATAGAGCTTTCTTTTGGTGGTATTTAATCACCACTGGGGGTTTTATTTTTTACTATATTAAAAGGAAAAATTACCGAAATAAAAAAAACAAAAACCTGTTTCCCCTATATTAAAATGATAAAACATTTATTACCCAATTTTTTGGTAAAATATAAAAGACGGGGTCACATCAGGTAAAAAGACAAACATGTTAAGCCTTAAAATTGCATGCGCGCAAGAAACCTCAAAAAACGATAATAACCAAAATTGGCCATAGGCGACGCTTTAAAAGCTTTTAATCGCTCATCAGTTTAGTGCAGGGGTGTGGAATTCCTATCGCCCGATGCCCAGGACATGCAGTTTCGGGCGAGTAGTTTTTTTAATACATTTAGCCCCGGCTGCGGACAAGCAGAGCTAAATGTATATTGTGGAGCCGCCGCTCGTTTTCATAAAAGTGATCTAATGAGATCACTTGTATGAAGCTAGAATCGGCGATCCTGTTCGCCCCCCGCCGTGGTTTTCGGGGGTCCCCGTCACCACAGCACCAGAGCTCACCATAGAGCCCGCAGATCAGACGAAGAACTTCTGTTCTTCGTCTGATCTGTGCCATCACTGAGACCGTGGCGCTGTAATCACAGCGCCACCTGTCTC